GTGTGTTAGTGTGTGTGTGTGTTAGCGTGTGTGTGTTAGTGTGTGTGTTAGTGTGTGTGTGTGTTATGTGTGTGTGTGTTAGTGTGTGTGTGTGTTAGTGTGTGTGTGTGTGTTAGTGTGGGGTGTGTGTGTTAGTGTGTGTGTGTGTTAGTGTGTGTGTGTGTTAGTGTGTGTGTGTGTTAGTGTGTGTGTTAGTGTGTGTGTTAGTGTGTGTGTTAGTGTGTGTGTTAGTGTGTGTGTTAGTGTGTGTGTTAGTGTGTGTGTTAGTGTGTGTGTTAGTGTGTGTGTTAGTGTGTCTGTGTGTGTGGTGTGTGTGTGTGTGTGTGTGTGTGTGTGTGTGTGGGGTGTGTGTGTGTGTGTGTGGTGTGTGTGTGTGTGGTGTGTGTGTACAAACACACAATGAAACTAATGAGGAAAATACAAGTGGATGAGGACTAGGTATGGCTACTAGTGGATCTGGACAGGCTGCAGGCCTAGTCTGACATATGGCTCTTGGCATTTTACCCCACCAAATGCAAAGTTATTTAAGCTTGGGAAAGGACAAAGAAGACTGCAGATGGAATACAGGCTCAGGAGTAAAGACTGCAAACCTCACTCAAGAAGCAGGACCTTGGAGTGAGTATTATACCAATAATATCCCCTGAGGTGTATGTCAGCCAAATAACTGCTCCAGCAAATGCACATCTGGCAAATCTGAGAATAGTTTTTCAACATCTAAGTAAGGAGTTATTCATGATACTATACATCATGTATGAAAGGCCCATACTGGAATATGGAGCCCACAATTTGTCAAGCATATCAAGAAAATGAGAAGTGTAGAGGTTTGTAACAAGATTAGTCCTGGAGCTAAGGGGTATGCCCTATGAAGAGAGGTTAAGGGAACTCAACCGGATGACACTGGAGGACAGGAGGACTAGCAGGGAATACGATGATGACATACAAAATACTAAGAGTAACTGATGAGGTGAATAGGGACAGAATGTTTCAGATGGGAAAACAGGAACACGAGAACAGAAATTTTATTATTTTTATTATCACACTGGCCGATTCCCACCAAGGCAGGGTGGCCCGAAAAAGAAAAACTTTCACCATCATTCACTCCATCACTGTCTTGCCAGAAGGGTGCTTTACACTACAGTTTTTAAACTGCAACATTAACACCCCTCCTTCAGAGTGCAGGCACTGTACTTCCCATCTCCAGGACTCAAGTCCGGCCTGCCGGTTTCCCTGAACCCCTTCATAAATGTTACTTTGCTCACACTCCAACAGCACGTCAAGTATTAAGAACCATTTGTCTCCATTCACTCCTATCAAACACGCTCACGCACGCCTGCTGGAAGTCCAAGCCCCTCGCACACAAAACCTCCTTTACCCCCTCCCTCCAACCTTTCCTAGGCCGACCCCTACCCCGCCTTCCTTCCACTACAGACTGATATACTCTTGAAGTCATTCTGTTTCGCTCCATTCTCTCTACATGTCCGAACCACCTCAACAACCCTCCCTCAGCCCTCTGGACAACAGTTTTGGTAATCCCGCACCTCCTCCTAACTTCCAAACTACGAATTCTCTGCATTATATTCACACCACACATTGCCCTCAGACATGACATCTCCACTGCCTCCAGCCTTCTCCTCGCTGCAACATTCATCACCCATGCTTCACACCCATATAAGAGTGTTGGTAAAACTATACTCTCATACATTCCCCTCTTTGCCTCCAAGGACAAAGTTCTTTGTCTCCACAGACTCCTAAGTGCACCACTCACCCTTTTCCCCTCATCAATTCTATGATTCACCTCATCCTTCATAGACCCATCCGCTGACACGTCCACTCCCAAATATCTGAATACATTCACCTCCTCCATACTCTCTCCCTCCAATCTGATATCCAATCTTTCATCACCTAATATTTTTGTTATCCTCATAACCTTACTCTTTCCTGTATTCACTTTTAATTTTCTTCTTTTGCACACTCTACCAAATTCATCCACCAATCTCTGCAACTTCTCTTCAGAATCTCCCAAGAGCACAGTGTCATCAGCAAAGAGCAACTGTGACAACTCCCACTTTATGTGTGATTCTTTATCTTTTAACTCCATGCCTCTTGTCAAGACTCTCGCATTTACTTCTCTACAACCCCATCTATAAATATATTAAACAACCACGGTGACATCACACATCCTTGTCTAAGGCCTACTTTTACTGGGAAATAATTTCCCTCTTTCCTATGTACTCTAACTTGAGCCTCACTATCCTCATAAAAACTCTTCACTGCTTTCAGTAACCTACCTCCTACACCATACACCTGCAACATCTGCCACATTGCCCCCCTATCCACCCTGTCATACGCCTTTTCCAAATCCATAAATGCCACAAAGACCTCTTTAGCCTTATCTAAATACTGTTCACTTATATGTTTCACTGTAAACACCTGGTCCACACACCCCCTACCTTTCCTAAAGCCTCCTTGTTCATCTGCTATCCTATTCTCAGTCTTACTTTTAATTCTTTCAATAATAACTCTACCATACACTTTACCAGGTATACTCAACAGACTTATCCCCCTATAATTTTTGCACTCTCTTTTGTCCCCTTTGCCTTTATACAAAGGAACTATGCATGCTCTCTGCCAATCCCTAGGTACCTTACCCTCTTCCATACATTTATTAAATAATTGCACCAACCACTCCAAAACTATATCCCCACCTGCTTTTAACATTTCTATCTTTATCCCATCAATCCCGGCTGCCTTACCCCCTTTCATTTTACCTACTGCCTCACGAACTTCCCCCACACTCACAACTGGCTCTTCCTCACTCCTACAAGATGTTATTCCTCCTTGCCCTATACACGAAATCACAGCTTCCCTATCTTCATCAACATTTAACAATTCCTCAAAATATTCCCTCCATCTTCCCAATACCTCTAACTCTCCATTTAATAACTCTCCTCTCCTATTTTTAACTGACAAATCCATTTGTTCTCTAGGCTTCCTTAACTTGTTAATCTCACTCCAAAACTTTTTCTTATTTTCAACAAAATTTGTTGATAACATCTCACTCACTCTCTCATTTGCTCTCTTTTTACATTGCTTCACCACTCTCTTAACCTCTCTCTTTTTCTCCATATACTCTTCCCTCCTTGCATCACTTCTACTTTGTAAAAACTTCTCATATGCTAACTTTTTCTCCCTTACTACTCTCTTTATATTATCATTCCACCAATCGCTCCTCTTCCCTCCCGCACCCACTTTCCTGTAACCACAAACTTCTGCTGAACACTCTAACACTACATTTTTAAACCTACCCCATACCTCTTCGACCCCATTGCCTATGCTCTCATTAGCCCATCTATCCTCCAATAGCTGTTTATATCTTTCCCTAACTGCCTCCTCTTTTAGTTTATAAACCTTCACCTCTCTCTTCCCTGATGCTTCTATTCTCCTTGTATCCCATCTACCTTTTACTCTCAGTGTAGCTACAACTAGAAAGTGATCTGATATATCTGTGGCCCCTCTATAAACATGTACACCCTGAAGTCTACTCAACAGTCTTTTATCTACCAATACATAATCCAACAAACTACTGTCATTTCGCCCTACATCATATCTTGTATACTTATTTATCCTCTTTTTCTTAAAATATGTATTACCTATAACTAAACCCCTTTCTATACAAAGTTCAATCAAAGGGCTCCATTATCATTTACACCTGGCACCCCAAACTTACCTACCACACCCTCTCTAAAAGTTTCTCCTACTTTAGCATTCAGGTCCCCTACCACAATTACTCTCTCACTTGGTTCAAAGGCTCCTATACATTCACTTAACATCTCCCAAAATCTCTCTCTCTCCTCTGCATTCCTCTCTTCTCCAGGTGCATACACGCTTATTATGACCCACTTCTCGCATCCAACCTTTACTTTAATCCACATAATTCTTGCATTTACACATTCATATTCTCTTTTCTCCTTCCATAACTGATCATTCAACATTACTGCTACCAGTTCCTTTGCTCTAACTCTCTCAGATACTCCAGATTTAATCCCATTTATTTTCCCCCACCGAAACTCCCCTACCCCCTTCAGCTTTGTTTCGCTTAGGGCCAGGACATCCAACTTCTTTTCATTCATAACATCAGCAATCATCTGTTTCTTGTCATCCGCACTACATCCACACACATTTAAGCATCCCAGTTTTATAATGTTTTTCTTCTTCTCTTTTTTAGTAAATGTCTACAGGAGAAGGGGTTACTAGCCCATTGCTCCCGGCATTTTAGTCGCCTCATACGACACGCATGGCTTACAGAGGAAAGATTCTTTTCCACTTCCCCATGGACAATAGAACAGAAATGGAAGCTGAAAATGCTGATGAGTCACAGGGATGTTAGTATTTCTTCAACCTCAAAATTGTCAAGAGGTGGAACAATCTGGAGAGTGAAGCTTTAAGAGGTATGATAAGGCTCTTAATTTAAGCTAGAAGAGGTGGATCTAGTAGTAACCAGCAAAGCGGCAGTGGAAGGAGCTGTGGATTGACTCCTGCAACCATATCTAAATGAGTACTTATAAGTGAGTATACACACAAACATAAAAAAGTGACTCCTACTGTCTTAGTAATGTTCACTCAATTATACAGCAAACTTGACATTTAACTAAATATTTAGTAGTTTTATTAAACTGATGACTAGCTAGCATCATTCACAAATACAAAAACTACCATGGAGAGGAGGAAGGGGGAGGGAGAAAGGCCTTCCTAAATTACTGGTTCCTTTAAACTACATTTGCACTGCCTCTCACCAGGTATACTATGCATCATTCCTCTTAGCTGGTAATAAAGTAAGAGGTTAACAAATAAATAATCCAAGAATTAGAAGATGCACAGTGATGAATGATTTGGAAAGGGCAATGATAAAAATGTACATACAGAAGCAGAATTAGAGCAATTGTGTAGTGAAGAGTTTGATGAAGAAAGTGTTAGAAGTGGTACAACACAACTCCACTCACTTGGAGGCAGCAAGCACAGCAGCGTCCTCATCAGTGAGTCCAGGATAGTTCTTAACCTCCTTGATGAAAGCAACCAACCCATCACGATCCAGACGACCATCTTTGAAATACTGCTGCTGTCTCAGGAACTTGTCCGCTGAAGAACAAGAGAGACAACTTTACCATGTACGTATATAATAAAGTATGTATTTGTCAGTGAATCAGTTGATGGATAATACTGTATAAAATTTACTGTATTATCCTACAGTGACTGGGAAATTGAAGATAATTTTTCATATAGCATTATTTGTTAAATGTTTTACTTTGAGAGGCAGAAACTTTTAAACTCAAAATTTTCCATGAAACTGCATCGAAAAGCTTTTTATGAACAAGTAAAAGCAGAAATTAGAACAACAACATTTGGAGCACCACAATTAAAGCATCTAAATAAACTTATGTACATATGTAGATGAGCAAAAAAAAATTTTATGACAGAAAAAATCTGAAAATAACAATAGGTATTGAAAAATTACAACACAACACTTAATTTCACCATAAAAGCATCACATTTACCTATAACAAGCCATACATATTTGTTCTCAAGAAATATGTGAAAGTTTAATGCATTCCATAAAAATCAACATTAGGCATAATATAGTTTGAACTTATATTAGAGCTGGCAATAAAAATTATTTAAAATAAAAATAAAATTCCACTATGTATATGAAATAAAAGACACGACACACTTACGCTATTCACACCACAGTGAATGTACAAATTATTGCAAATGCTTGCAACACTAATAACATCCAGTAAAACAGTCAATGTATAATGAACTGTAATCCAACAATAATTTAACTCAAATGTACCATAAGATAAAAAAAAATACACAGTGAATGTAAAACAATAATTGCACAGTGTTCTCCCCCTCCCTCTCATTCTATATTAACCCTTTGACTGTTTCGGCCGTATATATACGTCTTACGCGCCACTGTTTCAGACGTATTTATACGCGTAAATTCTAGCGGCTACAAATCAAGCGGGAGAAGGCTGGTAGGCCCACATGTGAGAGAATGGGTCTGTGTGGTCAGTGTGCACCACAAAAAAAATCCTGCAGCATGCAGTGCGTAATGAGAAAAAAAAACTGACCGTTTTTTTGTATTAAAACGCCGACTTTGAGGTGTATTTTCTTATAGTATTTATCATTGTATTCTCGTTTTCATGGTCTCACATGATAAAATGGAAAACATATTACAGAAATAGAGATGATTTTGATTAGTTTCACGATGAAAACGACCTTGAAATTGAACTCAAAATAGTGGAAATGTTTGATTTTTACCAATGTTCAGGATTAAGCAAATCACACCTCATGTCCAATACACGTCAAATGGGGAGTCTAATATTCTTTCACTAGTGCACTGATACTATTTATACCAGTTTTACAATAATGCAGTAGTCTGTATAACAGTAAATCTTCTATTTTTTGTACGAATAAAAAATCAAAATAGAAAGCAATAGTAATATAAGAGGGGCCTAGAGACATGACTAATGAACAGAGGATATGTTATTTTAGTTCCAAGAATGTCTACATTGTTTATTCTGGACCCTATTTTGAAATTTGAATCTTTTTTAATTTGCGTGAAATTGGCCAAATTGCCAATTTCTGACCACTTTATTGGGTAGTTCAAATTGGTAAATGGGCAGTTTCTTGTACTCAACTGATAGAAAAAATGGAGCTCTAAAGAAATACCTATAATTTTGGTTAACTGGAACAACAGAATTGGCCAAAAACAGGGCTCAAAGTCGGCGAAATCACCGATGCATATATGTTGCTGAGACCGCTAACTTCGCCAGAGTGTAATTCCATGAGTTTTCGACCAAATTTCGTACTTTTGGTGTCATTATCATCGGGAAAAGATTCTCTATCATTTCATAAAAAAAAAAAATCCAAAAATTTTGCGACATAGAATGACAGTTTCAGAAAGGGGCTTACAACAGTCAAAGGGTTAAACTTGAAAAAAATATCATTCCATATTAAACTGTTGAAAATGTTATCACTCCATATTAAACTGTTGAAAATGTTATTCCATATTAAACCGTTGAAAATGTTATTCTATATTAAACTGTTAAAAATGTTATTCAATACTAAACTGTTACAAAGGTTATATAAAATATTTAAATGCAATGTTACCATGCTATATAGTGCTAAACATCGCACTGAAATAATCTAAACATCCATTATATTATATTTTAAGACAGTTTTTAAATGGCTGAAAGACTCTGCATGACCTGAGGCTTTCCACTAAGTCTGTAATGCATGCCACCTAATTTGATAACAATAGTATTTTATACTGTCTGGAAATGAACAATAATTAAAAAATTTAATTTTAATTACCCTAAATTCAGTTATGAAACAACAAAATAATTTAATGCCAATGTGGGATACATGCAATCCATCCTTGTAAATTTTACTTAAATTTCTCACATACAATTTGAAGCAAATTTGTTGATTTACTTTATTTAAGTTAGGTCTGGTTAGGTTAGAACTCATGAAATTGTAATAACACAATTGTAAACAAACCTTAGAATCGGTGGAATCTGAACCCATATCAAGAGTCCTAAATTTTAGGACTCGCTTCCCATGGGTTCAAATCCCACCCATTCCGTGGTTTGGTTAGGTTAGATTTAGTTGCACTGGACTGTCATCAATTGATGAAAGTTAATTAATTACAAATAACATTGCAATTCCAGTAAATGAAATATAAAATAAAAGGCAATAAAATATTCCGATGCACAAACAGAAAATGGGGATCCACTGTGCACATCAGAAAATAAAATCAGATAATCAGTAAAATATGTACTGATTTACTAAATGGATGAGCTGATTAGTAGTATAGGTACAGTAAACCTTTAATGGAACAAACCAATAGGGAACAGCAGGTGGCCAGAAATGGTGAGCATGGTGGAGTGATGTGAGATTGTTTTACTACGATCACAACAATGATACGAAATTCTGTAACCAGAATCAAATGACCCAGCGGATTTTGTCTTGTATTTCCGAAGTCATTAACTCCAGGTCCATTAAATCAAGGGGTTAACTACATATTGTATTAATTTTAAAGCATACCAATGAAGGACACTTGAAATAAAAAGAGACTACATATTCAGGTTTTAGTAATACAGTACTGACTTACATAAAACATAGTTAGCACAAACACTTAACATTCTGCCATTTCATATGTGGCACACAGTAGCTTTTGGTAACCCCCCCACACCACCTCCTAATCACATAATTTCAAATTCTCCGCATAATATTCACACCACACACTGCCCTGAAACATGACATTTCCATTTCCTCAAGCTGTCTTCTCACAGCAATGTTTAAAAACGATACTTTGCATCTATATAATACATCATCTTGATCTCCTGAGATCTTTATCAAATTATAAAGATCTAAGCAGATTGAATAATTTTCCCAGTAAACATTTGTTCTGCAAAGTGTTTTTGGCTTTACAAATGTCAGCAGCATGCCATTTAGGTCCTTCATTCTGCCTTACTGTGACAGTCTGGGCATAGTAGGAGGCCACTATCCTCTGCATTAAATTATATATTAAGTATCTCCTGACACTGCAGGTATTCAAGTATGGTAGCCACTTCATTATTGCATTTCACTATGACAAACCCTTAGGTTATCCATAGATCCATAGATGACGTAATAATTTGCCCACAGTGCACTCCAAACAATGAACAGCAGTAAGCTGAAAACAGCTCTAATTTAATACTTTTAAGGTAAAAGGAAAATCTTGGAATCAAGGACATACCTAGAAAAGATTTTTTTTGAGTATCCATGTTGACACCCAGAGAGGTAAATAAAGTGTGACACCTGACAAAGCTGATGTGACACAGATAGGTGAATATTATTATTGTGGAAATTTTCCAGTTTAATTGTGTATGATTTTGTGATTTATTATACAAAACTGCTAATAAGATTGTGTGGAAATTTGCCTAAACAGGAGGTATAATTTATTTAAGAAGAAACCTCATTAAATTCAATCTCGTCCATCATTTATAAATCATGAGATTAGGTTATAATCCTTAGCTATGTGTTATTACATATTGGAGAGTCAATATGACTTCTGTTCTCTTTGAGAATGCAGGCTTGTTCCTGTTACTGCCTGATAACAAGTGGTTGTGGGAATAGGTAGCTAAATAATTTGACTGACAGACAGGATTCATGATGTCATAAGTAGAAATACTTTTGATGGAAGAAAGATTTATGTCAGAGAGGCACTTATCTGATAGCCAATCATATTTTTTTTTTTTTGTAAAAATTTTTTTCAATTCAAATACAAATACCATTTTCTCCTGTACTTTTTAAGGCTAACATAATGAGATGATATTAGCCATTGCCTTGAGTGTTTTTCTATCCATAAGATGAATAGCCTAAATAAAATCAAAATAATAATGAAGAATTTAATATATGTGCAAATGCAGCCTGAAAACATCCCTGGCTGAGGCTAGATTCCTCAAACAAACACTGCCACCCCCTTATCCTCATCATTTATACAGTAATAACCAATCAGATAATTGCCAAGGCATATCAGTCCAATGCACAAACACTTATAATTTCCTTATAAATACTTTACAGATTTAAACTGACATTAAATTTGCTATTTAGCTAGAGTATATTAAAATTAAATGTCATATCCAGTAACTTGCCAGGGGAGATTCAAACTTTAGGTAGGACCACATTGTGACTGTCACCTGAACGTGAGTCTGGTTATGTATTATATGGTGAATAGGCATATTTGCATGCCTCCTGAAAATCAGGCATTATATACACAATTGCAGAGCATGAGCAAAAAGCCTTTTTTTATATATAAAAATTATTAAAGTGATACAGACTCTGAATGGATTGGATAAAGTGTAAACTCAACTTCTTAAGCTCAAATAAGGTTGATTATGTGTCTACTGATCCAGCCATCAAAATGTACAATCCTTGTTTTAAATGATTACCCTCCCACCCCCAGGGAGGGTCCTACCTTTGATGTAGACACACTCTTCTGATTAACAGAAATTAACCTCCTGTGTCAAATATAATTTCAATTATACAATCACTAATCCCCCAATATCTACTAACCCCTACAACTAGCACACCCCCTAACCTTCACACTCTCCTATCCTCGTACATCCCTACTGAAAGCGCTGAATGACTCATTATATTACAGTAGACCATCGATTAACAGCAAGTAAATAAAATACCATGTAAAATTATCTGAATTACATAGGAGTAAAAAAAGGGTTACATTCTGCATGCCCCCAAAATGCCAACTAAATTTTTATGGGTCTTGTAATTTGTAAACAAATATGATAATAATGCAATTGTAGTTGGATGTATTGATGTGCTATATTTAATATTATGCTTTTACCTACAAAAGTTATATAAACAGCATTTCTTACCCTAAATTCTGGATGCTGGTATATGAAGATAATTATGAAAAAGTGGAGGGCTGAGGTGAAAGCCTGTAGATTGTTGGCTGAGGCCCTTGTACTGATGTTGATGCAGAGCTGTCATTAGGTAATTGTTGTATGGGAGTACCGAGTATTCTGTAATGCACCTTTGGTCTGTTTTACCCTGCAGTACTTTATGCAGCTAACAGAAAGACATCATCAATTGCTCCAGACCCTACTTCAGAACAGTGCTTCTAGATGTGCCAGGGTCTTGTTCAGTGAAAAAAAAAAAAATCAGCTAGTTTAGCAGAAGCATGGAACTGCTCACAACTGTTTATAGTGTTAACTGTTTTTTCTGCAGGTTCTTCCCCATCTTCCTCTATCTGCCACCCTTGTAGTTGGGCACTAAGCTCTGCCAAAGTTTTCTTTGGACTTCTGTCTTCCTCATCATCTTTTAAAAGTTCACCATCAAAGAACTCACTTGCCAATCTCCTTGCCAGATAAACAATTTCGTGGACCTTGCTCTCAATTGAGGAAAAAACCTGTGAAATTACAGCCTCTCCTCACTTAATGACATAGTTCCATTCCTAAAACAATGTCGGTAAACAAATTCGTCGCTAAGCAAGGAGCATACTATAATAGTAGTGGGTTTGTGTCAACCATCTTTAATAATGTTTTAATGTCACCTTTGCACCATTTATAACATTTTTAGTATATTTTTCAGTGTTTATAGAGTAATAAACAGAATACAGGAAGTCAGCTCTAATACACATAATTTAGGAATGCATACTGGTCAGAGAGCCTGTCATAAGTCCAAATTCACTTTTGATGCAGCTGATAGCATCCTGCAATGTTAAATTTACGACAGAAGTTTAGCACTGTTCCAACAAGTTTCTGCAATACTTTTTGTATGTATGTAGTTGTATTTAATGTTTTAATAACTCCTCAGTCCAGTGGTTGTGTTAAAGATGTGTTTGGTGGCAAAAATCACTTTTTCATGTGGATCCACATCCTCCAAGGGTTCTGGATGAGTATGGGAATTATCAAGAATAAAGTGAGCCATTAATGCAAGGTTCTTGCTGCACAGGTAAAACATGGCTTTGGGAATAAAATGATGCTTAAACCAATCAAGAAATAAGGCTTCTGTCATCCGTGCTAATTGTTTTGACTATTTCAAGTGACAACGCAGTGCTGTCTGTGTCTTTCAAAGTATGAGGCATCTTATTGTAGTAAATAATCATAGGACAACACTTAAAATTGCCTGATGAATTACCACACAGAAGAAAGCTGAAGTAATCCTTTGCTGCTTTGAATCCCAATGAACTTTCCTTTCTCAATGGCATTTTCTTCCCATAAAGACTTGACTCATTAAACACTTGCTGTGGCTCATAGCTACCCTCAGAAATAATTTCCTCTAATTCAGCAGGAAAACTCCCTGCAGCACTTTCATCCAAAAATTTAACACAGTGGAACCTCGGTACACGACCTTAATTCATTCTAGAAGGTTGTTCAAATGCCGCTCCACTTGAGTATCGAACAAGTTCTTCCCAACCAATTTTCTGTTTAGTTGGCTGTTATCACTAATCTTCATAGGCCCCATGGTGACTTATACAAATACAGAAAAACACCAAAAAATGCTTAGAAATACAAAATAGTTTACAGCGAAGTCCTGGCAGGTCGTATTTGTTTGGTCAAGTGCTGAGCTTTGTTTGAGTAGGGAGCTGGTCATATACCGAGATTCCACTGTACGTATTATGCAATTGATTGCACAATTTGAACTTGTGGAACCAGCCAATACTAAACAAGCACTTTTGTTCAAGCCTTCCTTCCTCATCACACACTATTTTATAGCACTCTAAGCCTTTTGTCTTTATGATCACACTGAATGGTGTACCTTTCTTGGTTTTCTACTCAAACTACTCACTCAATAAATTTTTCATCTTATTAGCTGGTGTGACCTATGTGTCATTCTTTGCAGGTCACAACCTGGGTTAATGCACAAGTTTGTATCTTTGTCTCATTTTAATTCCACAAAATGATGATTTATTCACACCATAGGCATATGCTGTTTCCACCCAAAATGTATCACATTAACATTCATCTAATATCTGGTTGTTTCAAAGCACACAGACTTTCATGCTTATGTTTCTTTTTTGAACTCTGAGCATCACTCACATTCCTCATGGGTGCAATGGCTACTATCCAGAGACAAGACGAGATGATGAGAAGATAAAAATAAATTTACTAATGCAGGCTGAGTATAGTACGAGACACACATGCATGGAGAACTGACAGTGGGGAAGGCAATCAACATTAAGAGTGCGACTAGACATCTCCAACAGTAAGATGGAGAGGAAAGTCCCCACAGCATGCCATATTTTTCCCCTAAATTTACTCCATGCTCAACAATAAACAAGGTGTGCTCATCAAAAATATGCTTCAATTTTTCAGCAATGTTATCAAGGAATAGTACTAATAGATTGTGTGTTAATCGATGGTCTACTATATTAAAAAATCTGTCTGATAAGTAAGAGATTCCAAGCTACACTAAATGCCACCAGGTACCCACTCAATGTCAGACTGAGCTCAATAGGCATATACTGGTCATAAATGTGAACTAAGATAGCTTAGCCTCTCAGGGCAGACCAACAATACCATTTAAGGTTATGTTGCACACACTCAGTGAATGGCTGTATTCAATTCAGTCAAATTTCACTAATCATAATCCTATGCATTTTTTATTTCACAATTTAATCCTTCACTTATCTTCCATAAAATGCTATCATCAAACTGAACTCAATGAATTTATTAACTTATACAATCCACATATGTATTAACAGTGTTTAGCATTATACTGCTCTTTCAATTATTATAGTGAAACCCTATCCCCATTAACTTATAATTAACCAGGCCTTGATTCTTGGAATTATTCTTAGGAGGTTTACATTGAAGGAAGCAGACATCAGTGGCCTTGCCTACTTGATAAATCTTCCAAAAAAGAGCATTCTAAGAGTTAATTATCAAGACAATGCAATTTTTCCATACTAGTGTCTGACTCCTCTGAGTGCTACAACACTGTTTAGACATTCCATGTAAAAAAAGGCCCTAAAATACAGAGCTCACTACCAGAAGATTAAAATGTTTCCAATCTGCCAAGTGCTTAAAAAAAAAAAAAAAAAAAAAAAAAAAAAAAAAAAAAAAAAAAAAAAAAAAAAAGACTCCCAAATCAAATGCAAATTCTACATAGAATAAATATATGTATGTGTCCAATAAATCAATAGTAACTTATTTACCCAAACCAAATCAACACTCATATTCATGCACTTAATTTTTTTAACATATCAGCCATCTCCCATCGAGGTAGGATGACCCAAAAAAGAAGAAACCAAAGATTTTCTTCTTTTTACACTTAGTAATTTATATAGGAGAAGGGGTTACTAGCTCCTTGCTCCCACCATTTTAGTTGCCTCTTACGACACACACAGCTTACGGAGGAAGGATTCTTCTCCACTTCCCCATGGAGGTCATGCACTTATTTCTACACCCAATATTTGTTAGAACCAAAATTTCATTCCAATTCTGTATTAAAATGTTAAAAATGTGATATAAAAATTTTGTGTAAAATGTTAAAATGTTATTGTAAAACAGCATTCAAACAGTCTAAACTTCAACTGTATGCTACTTATCAAGTAGTTTTATGCTACTTTTAGACTGCTCGAAATCCTCTGCATAACCAAGGGCTTTCCACGAAGTCTGTAAAATATGTCAACTAATTTTATAAGAACCATATACTATAACTTTCTGGGGAAAAAAAAAACGGTTTTAATTTTAAATTCCGATTTTTTTTAATTTTATTTTTAACTGCTAGATTAATATTTTCAAAAAAGTCACACCAATGAGATTAGATGCATTCATGGAGTTGAGGGGTTTGTGATCACACAGTTAATTTCAATACATCCCATCTTGTTAAGGGTACTAAGTTAATCCTTGGTTTACTAAGTGAGGAGGATTATGGGGCAGAGTGTGTGACTTACCAGGGAGGGCACGACGGGGCCTTAACCCTATACACACCAGACAATCCTCACATGGCATCAGCGCTTCCTCTGTTAGAATAAATACAGCACAAACATCTTATTAACATATTCTTGGGAATATTTGTGGTATACTCCAACTGACAGCTCTAGGACAACCTTCCTGAGTGAGGGCACTAGTCAAGATGCAGGATGGAACGATTACAATACTGCCAACCAGTTGGTTAAACAACGGTATTTAGCAAGGTCAACCTTTACTATACTCTACTATACTATACCATAACATATTTTCCACTGATAGACTCCCTTTGCCAAGAGTCTTGACTGCCCACAGGATGGGTATAGGGCTCATAATAAAGCTATTAAAATATACTAACTGCCAAGTGTCTCTCTCTTACCAAGATAAGGAAGATGGAATGTTTTGGAGCTTAATTCTTTTTTAAATGGCAACCATAGAAATAGGACACACAGCTTGGTTTTCTTGGGATATTCTGGGATTCTACTGTAATATCCTCTGATAAATTTCTCACCGAAGTCAGTAGAGCTGAGTTCAAAGTGGTTATATTTTGGGAATGTGAATAAAAGGAAAGGTGGACAGGAAGCTCAAACCTTTCTGTTTATTCACTGACAGCCATTCACTGCAACTTAAACTAAGTTCACAGGAGTCGGGAATATGTTGGTTCAAAGTGGTTATATGTTAAAAAATTTTTAGACAACCAGAAAAAAAAAGCTTTAAATATGTATGTCACCATTGGTATCAGACAAGGGTCAGCACTCATCCTGATAAAAATTTTTAAAGAACAAAATTGCACAATACCATGACTGGAACTTTACACAAATGACCAGAACATAGGTGAAAGAAGCTTACGAAAACATTTCAGCCTGACTGTGTATAAATAGCTTGTCAGATGGAATAAATAGCTTCAGTAAAAAAATATATATATATATATATATTTGCAGACAAAGCAAAAATCCTATTCATTACAGATCAAAATGACTGTGTACACATGATACACTGCTCATTTTCTTCTGGTGTTGCACACAACTCCCAAATCAACTACAGTTGAACACCATTAATTGGAAGGACACAAGTGCAACTAATGTGACATTTATTGTGGCAACGTTTCGCTCTCCAGGAGCTTTATCAAGCTTGATAAAGCTCCTGGAGAGCGAAACGTTGCCACAATAAATGTCACATTAGTTGCACTTGTGTCCTTTTACTTTACATATTGTCGGTAATTCTACCAACTTTATTACCATTAATTGGACTGAAACTGTGTAACAGACAATCCTGAATAACTTAAAAGCCACAAATCTTTAGGTCAACAACGATGGTACATGCCTACCAATAACTGCAGTAGCTTTTCTCTTTTCCAAGTACATACTGTACAGTGCTCACTCTTGTACATCATCTCTTAATAAATGGTTATAACCATAACCAAAATTTTTAAAGGAGTGGACAGGTAAGCCGATGGAAAGCCTCAGTCAAATGATCAAAGGCTCCAGCTGTGAGCCATTATATGACTAAGACCCACATCAGGAAACACTTGTCCTGTTTCCTGAAAACCTTACCTAGGTTTGTACATCATTTACTGTGCATTATATATAGTCGCACTCAAGGAAAATGCATATTACAGCTTAATACATGTAAGACTTGTCAGTGATAAGAACTTACTGGTAGTTGATGTATCATTATGCAAGAATCACAAAGTTTATCAAACTTAACACACATTTTCTAACTCCCTCACATTATTACATGAATTGCAAACCACTAGCACATACATCAGAAAATTGCAGTACCTATTTGTGACTTCAGGAATACGTATATTTATGCTCAGTAATTCTTACATAATTCATAAACTAATGCAGCAGTTATAGCACCTATCACAATACCTCTTCTTGATTTATATATTATTTTGTACTGTATAAAAGAAATAAAATTTTGCATTTGTATTTGATGAATGAACTTTCAATTATGCATCTAGTTTCCCTTATGTCTCAGTTTACAACTACAGCGTCTTGCTTTCCCTGTTGAATGTACTAATAAATCTTTTTCTCTTTCTTTCATATGGTATTATCATCTTGTGTATGTGATTATCATGTCCCTTCTTTATTCTCCTCTCAGCTATCATCGATATCTTGAATGTTTTCAGCTTTTCACCCTAATTCAGTAAAAACTTCCAAGAACCATTCTGTAGCTCTTAATGGACTTTTTCTATATTTTCCTGTTTAAGGTGTGAACACTGCAGCTGCTGTATATCAAAATTCAGACCTAACACACACTGTAATCAATTTTCAAGCATCTTTTCTTTATACATTTAAATGAAGATTTTATAGTTTGATATTATAGCGTCATTCTCCCATAATTTTCTTTATATAATCGTCTGGTGACTCTCTCTCTCTCTCTCTCACACACACACATACACACACACACACACACACACACACACACGTATGCACGGACGTACATTAACAAGAGCACAGCAAGCACCAGTCTGAATGTTAACGTAAATAACATTTTATTTCTGGGATCGATTCCACAATCAATAATCGTTTGATACGTAAATATTTAAAAAAATATTTTGATATGTAAACAACGAAGGTATACAGACTGTGTTAGCAACACTGAGAGTCGTCTTTTATTTTGTAGCTATTTATGCAACGCTTATGAAAGGTAACCTTTGTGCTTGCTAAGACCTTGAGACACTGCATGACTTAGAGCCAAGAGATGCATTAACAGTGTCTGTGTGAGAATAATAGGGTGTTTCTCTTGTCTTACAACCATCACACAACCTCCAGTTGTTGTTATGTGTATGTGGGTAAGACACACAGGTAATACTTAGGCATCTTTATTAATCTTTATTACAAGACTTTAGCCTACACAGTAGGCTTCTTCAGTCAAGTACAGAAAGTAGGTAGGTATTGTATATCATTCTGATATTCAAATGTGATTATATATATATATGTATGTATGTATGTATGTATGTACTCACCTAGTTCTCACCTAGTTGAGGTTGCAGGGGTCGAGTCCAAGCTCCTGGCCCCGCTTCCTCACTGTCACCACTAGGTCACTCTCCCTGAACCATGAGCTTTATCATACCTCTGCTTAAAGCTATGTATGGATCCTGCCTCCACTACATCGCTTCCCAAACTATTCCACTTCCTGACTACTCTGTGGCTGAAGAAATACTTCCTAACATCCATGTGATTCATCTGTGTCTTCAGCTTCCAACTGTGTCCCCTTGTTGCTGTGTCCAGTCTCTGGAACATCCTGTCTTTGTCCACCTTGTCAATTCCTCTCAGTATTTTGTAAGTCGTTATCATGTCCCCCCTATCTCTCCTGTCCTCCAGTGTCGTCAGGTTGATTTCCCTTAGCCTCTCCTCGTAGGACATACCTCTTAGCTCTGGGACTAGTCTTGTGGCAAACCTTTGCACTTTCTCTAGTTTCTTTACATGCTTGGCTAGGTGTGGGTTCCAAACTGGTGCCGCATACTCCAATATTGGCCTAACATACACGGTGTACAGGGTCCTGAACGACTCCTTATTAAGATGTCGGAATGCTGTTCTGAGGTTTGCTAGGCGCCCATATGCTGCAGCAGTTATTTGGTTGATGTGCGCTTCAGGAGATGTGCCTGGTGTTATACTCACCCCAAGATCTTTTTCCTTGAGTGAGGTTTGTAGTTTCCTGCCCCCTAGTTTGTACTCCGTCTGCGGTCTTCTTTGCCCTTCCCCAATCTTCATGACTTTGCACTTGGTGGGATTGAACTCCAGGAGCCAATTGCTGGACCAGGTCTGCAGCCTGTCCAGATCCCTTTGTAGTTCTGCCTGGTCTTCAATCGAATGAATTCTTCTCATCAACTTTACGTCATCTGCAAACAGGGACACTTCGGAGTCTCTATTCTTTCTGTCATGTCGTTCACAAATACCAGAAACAGCACTGATCCTAGGACTGACCTCAGACCCTGCTGGTCACAGGTGCCCACTCTGACACCTCGCCACATACCATGACTCGCTGCTGTCTTCCTGACAAGTATTCCCTGATCCATTGTAGTGCCTTCCCTGTTATCCCTGCTTGGTCCTCCAATTTTTGCACTAATCTCTTGTGTAGAACTGTGTCAAACGCCTTCTTGCAGCCCAAGAAAATTAAATCCACTCACCCCTCTCTCTCTCTTGTCTTACTGCTGTCACCATGTCATAGAACTCCAGTAGGTTTGTGACACAGGATTTCCCATCCCTGAAACCATGTTGGCTGCTGTTGATGAGATCATTCCTTTCTAGGTGTTCCACCACTCTCCTGATAATCTTCTCCATGACTTTGCATACTATACATGTCAGTGACACTGGTTTGTAGTTTAGTGCTTCATGTCTGTCTCCTTTTTTAAAGATTGGGACTACATTTGCTGTCTTCCATGCCTCAGGCAATCTCCCTGTTTCGATAGATGTATTGAATATTGTTGTTAGGGGTACACATAGCGCCTCTGCTCCCTCTCTCAGGACCCATGGAGAGATGTTATCCGGCCCCATTGCCTTTGAGGTATCTAGTTCATTCAGAAGCCTCTTCACTTCTTCCTCGGTTGTGTGTACTGTGTCCAGCACTTGGTGGTGTGCCCCACCTCTCCATCTTTCTGGAGCCCCTTCTGTTTCCTCTGTGAACACTTCTTTGAATCTCATGTCGAGTTCCTCACATACTTCACGGTCATTTCTTGTTCTCTCTCCTCCTTCCTTCCTTAGCCTGATTACCTGGTCCTTGACTGTCGTTTTCCTCCTGATGTGGCTGTATAACAACTTCGGGTCAGCTTTGGCTTTCGTTGCTATGTTGTTTTCATATTGTCGTTGGGCCTCCCTTCTTATCTGTGCATATTAATTTCTGGCTCTACAACTGCTCTCCTTATTCTCCTGGGTCCTTCGCCTTCCATATTTCTTCCATTCCCTAGCACACTTGGTTTTTGCCTCCCTGCACCTTTGGGTGAACCATGGGCTCATTCTGGCTTTTTCATTATTCCTGTTACCTTTGAGTACAAACCTCTCCTCAGCCTCCTTTCACATTGTTGCTACATATTCCATCATCTCAT